GGTTAAGAAGAATTTTCAACCAGAAGATGGCGGTGCTTTCCGATATTGTTTAGTGCTATGTTTCTTCATTCTTCTCTAGTTTTTCTTCTATCTACCTGACATGATCCCACGCCGTCGCATCATCCGCTTGTTTTTCGGACGTCACGTTTTTCTCTTGCACGAGGCATCTCGTGCCGTGGTCACGACTTTACTGAAGTCTTTGATTAATGAAGTCCATCCATCTTTTCTTTGACGCTGGGCTGAGGCTCTCGCGGTCGTCTATTGTAATTCGAGCTCCAATGCATCCCTGACATTGTGATCTTCAGGCCTTCTCAAAACGTGTCTATACCGTGGCAAATCTCCTTCTAGGGGTAGCATTTGGTTACTGGCGAGTAGGGACGTAATGGCCTCACTGAAAAATGTTTCTGGCTGATGACTTTTTTGGCTTTCAGTTTTCATCTACACTTGCCCCTCTCCCTCGACGGCAGTTTTTTTGGATAAACAGGAGAATTTCTCAGTAAATGTGGTAAATGACTGGAAATGGTCGAAGGTTGGGGAGAGTTGAGGAAGGTAGCAAGCTTGATGAGGAGGGATGGGGAGGGTACTGCCCGACACCCCTTGTCCATGAGCATCGTGGAATATGCTGGATTCCTCATGAAGCTTGCATAAGTATTCAATTATTCGATTTTCAATCTACCATATTGCCTACAGTACGTACATTTTCAGGTCTGTTCTATAGGAGCGCTATGCCATCTAGCTGCTTTTTTTATAATGGTTCGTCATAAGGTGTTTCGGAACCCATTTGGCCGTCTCTCTGCTTGCTACGCTTTTTCAAGCGCCTCCCTTCTTATTGTATTTCTTCTATGGTCCGTCCCGTGGACTATTTGGTAAGATATAACACAGCTCGAACATGCTCTACTGTAGAATCCGAACCAGGAAATTATAGTGGGTCACATAGTCGGTCCCCGTCAAAATAGCGGATCATTTTATGGATCCGTGCAAATTTTGTAAGCCTTCCAAATAGCGCTCTCCGTTTGAAAGCTTCTTCTTCTTGTTATCTTTGAATGTTGGACAGCATTCAGCGATAGCAGGAATGAAGAAACGTTTGCAGTTC